TCCCCCGGGATCGACACCCATGACCATAAGAACACTAATTTTACTCTTTATTAATCAACATTTCGAATTGTTATTCAAATAATCGACATGCACAATTTGTTTTCTTCATAACTTGATATGCTGATTTGGCTGATCCGATGATGAGGTTATTACTTTTTTAAGGCACAAACCTGTGCCAGTTACATGCCTATAACTGTACCGTAGCTGTTTGAAATCAACCTGTGGGATCGTGTGTAAGGTTTGCTCAACACGCACATGGTTTCTTATTAAACGATTATCAGATTGGTGATAATAATTTAGTCTGCTAAATGGTGTTGGCCATTGATTTTAATACTTAAAAAGGCCTTGCGTTCATAAACTCCTGAATGGTTTAAAGAAATGCCAAGCGTATAATAAAATAGAACAACTCAATTATAGCGTTTATTGACCTAGGCTCAGATAACCCATCAAGGAATAATCTCTAGTGTGCTTCAATATTAATGACGTACACTTCTCGAAATCAGTTAATGTTAATACGGTTTGGTTATATCTATGTTACAACCATTGTGATTACAACAATAAAAACACTAGCACTAAGAATTGAGGAGCGCGATAGTTCAGTCGGTAGAGCAGTGGGTCTCGTAATCCGGTGACCCGGATTCGAAACCAAGGCGATGCGCTAGTGCCCTTTGGTAAGGCTTTAATCCTCATTACCAGGTCCCTCGGAGAGGACCTCAAGCAGTCAGCCGTCTGGTTGCTTACTTTCAAGAATTTATGCTTTCTTAGTAGTCAGGTAAAATAACAACCATCACCAAATAACGGTAACAATAACCATTGTTAGGTCATCTGGCGCAAAGCGTGGCGAAGCACCTATTGATTTTGTCAGCCTTTTTTTGTATTTCTTTCTGTAACATTTTGTGTTGTGGATATAATCTCATAAATGGCATGGTTAGTGACCATGAAACTTTCATTGCATGTGGCATATGCATGATCATTGATCCTAATGAAAAGATTTGTTATATTTCTGATGCGTGACGTCATCTAGGCGCCATTTTGTTAATTTATAATATTGACCATATTTCATCCATTCATTGTTAATTTTGAATGAATTTGCTTGCATAAGCTTGAGGTCATGGGTAAACTTTAGATCACAACAATTTCGGTGCGCGCGTCACGGCAAAAGCATACGCGTGCGTCAACATTTAAAATTGTTCAAAATGCATATAGGACCAATTAACTCTACGTTTCAGACCTTTTGGAGCTTTTCAAAATTTTGCGCGCGCCGTTCGTACTGAATGTATTTTTTTCATTTGTATTGTGTTGCTGATACTATTCTTAGCAATTTGAAATCACTTGTAGCCATTGTTTACCTAAGTTTGGCTCATAGATGTTAATTTAACCTCAAAAATGTGCCCGTGGTTTGAGCCATTATGCATGGCCGTACAGAGGATTGTTTTAATGTTGGGGACCGGGGTAAAATTCAATGAATTATTGATAATTTATTGTATTTTCTTTTTTTCTTTATTATTTGTGGGAACTGTCCCCTACCCAAGCCCCCCGCTGCGTACAGTCATGGTTCAGTGGCAAAGCAATGGCCTCGTAACTGTGAGGCCCCAGGATCAAAACCGCGTCGATGTGCTATATTAGTGCCCTTTTGTGGGGCATTAATCCTCATTACTGTCATTTATGACATAAGGGCGTAGGTCTCCTAGTTGATAAGCATATTAGGATACACATGCTTTAATCAAACACTGACCCCAAGTCCTCTGGTTAGGACTAGTTCGCTCCTACTACTCGTTATCTTTTTCACCGACCAAACTAAGCATCATCGTCAGAACATTGTACTTTGCTTGGTCGAAGATCTAACCATCCAGTCCAGCCTTTTGGTCCCATGGTAAGGTTCGGTGAATGCCTCTTGGTTCTTACTCTTCTCCATCGATACTTTTATTACTCTTACAATTCTCATCTGCACATTTTTCCTCACGATTCTTGACCGTCAACATCGCTTTTCTTGCTGCTCAATACGATCCGACTTAATGGATGACGTGTTATTTTGTTGTTTGTTCGCCTGCGCCTACTGCTGTCATTAATTTATTGGTATCAGGGTTGTAACGAACAATAGCCAGCACAATCATTTCTACTGTTTCTGCATCCTTGATTATTAAATGAGTTTATACATATAGACATGTTATTTGAGTGGAGGACGTAATTTTTTTAAAGACCAAATCTCTCATTGAGTTTCTACATGACTGCCTTATATCTCGATCAAAGCGGCAGATCAGCTAATTCGTCTCTGTGAAAATGTTAACATCTAGTTCAAGACGGCTAAATTCTTCATAAATATAACCATTTCTTATATTTGTGATGCCCTACAAGTATTTTGTTGTTTAGAACCAGCCGTTGAAAAACGAGATAGCGCATCGTATGTTGTATTCCAGCCAATGCCAATATTAGCTTTTTGTTGGCTTTTTGTGTTGGTGATAATATGCACAACTAGCCGGCCCGTGTATTGTTTTTATTATTTAATTAACGGTCACTGTATTATTTTGAAAGTGGAGCTGAATTGGAAGGATCGTTTTCAATCTAAATTCACACATTTTGGGGTCTAAAATCAACTTCAAAGCAATTTTAGGTTCTAACAGGGTACTAGCAACATCATAAATAAGAATAAGAGCAATAACCTTGTACTTTGAACGCATTTTTGGTCCTAAACAAAAACTCAACTATCCCTTTAATACAATGTATAGTTATATCCCCAATTGAGCCGAGTCGCCGCGATAACGGGCTACATCATAGATAATTGTCTTTCTATCAGGTTCCTTTTTAAGCTTCACCTGCGTGTAGAGTAAGTAAATGTAGGATAGTGTCGGGTAAAAGGACGTTATTGATATGTCTTGGGTTCGAGGCTCGTATCTTACCTTCAAGCCCTTTTAAAGTGTTGGGAGCCCCAACAAATTAATTTTTGCAAAATTTCACTTAAATAGCCATTATAATGTGAAAGAGGTTGTCATTTAAAACAAACTACTGCAAGGATTTTTTTAGGGGGGGGGGGGGGAAGCACGTAGCCAGGGGCGGTTGGGGCAGTCGCCCCCACAACGCCGGCCAAACAAAAACAAAAAAAAGGAGAAGAAGAAAGGAAGAGGACGTAGGAAGAAAAGGAATTAAGAGTCGAGAACGGTACAACGAATCGTCTTATTTCTCTAATAATTTCATGAAACGTCGAAGCTTCCGCGCTTCGAGGGAACTGAATTTGCGGGAACTGAATTCAGATAAGGATTAAGAGTCGAGACCAGTACAACGAATCGTTTTCTTACTCTAATTATTTATGAAACGCCAAAGCTTCCGTGCTTCGCGCGGGAGGGGGAAACTGAATTCAGACAAGGATTCAGAGTCGAGATCGGTACAACGAATCGTCTTCTTTCTCTAATAATTTAATAAAACGTCAAAAGAAACTGAATTGAGACAAGGATTAAGAGTCGAGAAAGGTACAACGAATCGTCTTCGTTCTCTTATAATAACTTCAAAGCAACTTCCCCCTCCCTGCACCCACCACCCTAGGGAGCGCGCTTCACACGCTTTGCATGCTCACTACCGCCCCCCTAAATAATATCCTGGCTACGCGCTTGCTTAACAGGGGCTTTAACATAATGATGTAACCTAGATACTTTGGTCAAAGTTTGGTGTAGCATGGAATATATATTGAAGATGAAATATCTTTTTTTCAGACATATTGTTTTATTTCGTTAGTTTTATGAACAATCTCCCTTGTGCACTAAAAATCAGCCCATCTCTTAATTCTTTCAAACGTTGTTATTAAACCCATCCTTTATGTTTGTATTCATGATGTGAAATTTATATATTGCATTTTGTTGACCTAATTTGTCCGTTTGTTTGTTGTATTTATGTATGCATTGTTAATTTTGGGGTCAACGTACTAAAAGGTTCCCCCTCTTTCTATGTTTTTTTGTCTATTAATTGCTCTGTAATCATTTTGTTAATGATGCTCAGTTGTATATGTATTCAATTTGAGTTGCTTTTATTTAGAGTGAAAAAATAAAGATTGAACTGAAGTGAAAAAAACCTTTAGGAAGATCAGAGCCATTTTAATAGGGGCTTTAAATAGAGCTTTCCAGCCGTTTTTTAATTCTTGATTCATATTATGTTTGTCTATTGTATTTTGGTATGTATTTGAATTTGTTATACGGAAAATAAAACACATCAGACTTGATACTATCCCGCTGCTTGTGAGATTTACTATTTTACAGGCACCTTAATTTGAGCATCACCCGAGGAGGCCATGAACGCAGTTATTAGTTAAGCTAGTAAAGGTGATACAAAGTTTTGGTATGGGGTCATGAATTTGGTTCAAATGAACATATTGGAAGCATATGCGATCCTACAATAGTCAGTGATCGTTGTCGCCGTTGAAATCGAGTCTAAACTTATGAAATTGTAAATAATAAACTCTTTATGTTGTATAGCTCCCTCTCAAGGTCAAGATATTAATTAAGCTCTAAAACATCGTTTCTTAACTAAAATCGACCGATTAGCTATTCCCGTTTGGATATTATCTATTACAACTACATATTCTAAGATTTTCATGGTCGCAGCTATCATTGTACGGCAGTAGGCGCCATTTAAAATTTATCAAAATTTACGGGAGCAACGGTACATTTTTATATTCAATTTTTCTCGAAAGCAGAAGTGTTTTAGGTCCTAAATTTTCTAGTGCTTATAATACATCCACAGGAGCATCCAAATATATCAAAGTTGTAAAGAATTACCATCCACCTAATGTTCAAAAATTTCCCAAAACTTTGTGTTACCTTCAAGCATCTGTATATATTTGAAGTATAGCGCTGTGCACATACATGTTAATACGTTCTGCAGCTGACATTTCGGACATATCATTAGCATTAATTTTTATTATTATTTAGTGAAGTAGTCCCGTTCTTTAGTTTTCAATGCTTCGGAATAGATCGGTTAGTTTTCAAATATCAGATATCAAATTCTATCAACAGGAGCGTTGCAGAATGTTCCTCCTCCCGGTGTCGCTCTGGGTATGGAAAGTGGAGCCATCCAAGATTCAAGCCTGACAGCATCTATGTAAATCTGGGTTATGGCCCCGAGAGAGGACGCCTGAACATAGATTCAGCCTGGTTTGGAGGTACTAGCGCTAAATCATCATGGATCCAGGTAATGCTACGGCCACAAAGGTTCGTACGAACGATAATTTCGTACGAATCTCCCTGTTTTTCCGTTGTCTTCCCGAATTCCATTGTCTGGAAATCGTTCGTACGGCGTTCGTAGCAGTTCGTAATGGCATTCGTGACCGAGGCTTTAGATCGGTCCGCCTTTTTCTCCCGTCGCTCGGTACCTATTAATGGCAGACAAAAACCTCAATGAATAGGAATTTAAACAGAATGCCGATTAAAATTATATTGATCATTTGTTTTGTCCTAATGTTGCAAGTTCATTTTGATATATTGAAAAAAGTGTATGTAATTATTCGTCTTTCCAAGGTTGATCTGTCCACTACTTATCGTATCACTGGAGTCGCAACACAAGGTCGTTGGGACGTTGCCCAATGGGTTACAAGCTTTAAGGTAGCATGCAGCATAGACGGTATTACGTTCGATATAGTACAAGACGCCCTCAACCAGCCCGTAGCCGATAAGGTAGGTGTCAATGTCTTTTCCTCTGACCGTAAAGGGTAATATCCTGTATCCTAAGAAGTAGGAAACAAAACAAAGTATCAAACAAACGAGCAAGAATAATCGCAACCAAATATGACAACTTTGTCAATGTTTTATACACTTATTAATGAAAAGAAGTAATGACAGAAGAATGATTTTATGTTTTTATTTAGTATTTCTGTTCCACCACTTCAAATCTTCTCTCTTTCTTACTGCCTCTGCCCACCTTCTTTTTCCCCCTCTATATGAATATATCTTTATAATGTATGTATGTATGTATGTTGTAAACAATTTATTTTCATTACGTGAGATTAAATCGATACCACATCCTCGTATACCCCTTCCACAGCGACCCGTCGTGTACATTGTTGTTTTATGTAGAGATTTATTTATACAAAATCGGAATTATTTGTTTGTTATCAGATATGTCGAAATAGTATCGTATATTCTTTGCATTTCTTTAAGGTCTTCGTGGGCAATACGGACGATAACACGGTGGTGTATAACACATTACCCTCGGTTAAAGTATGCCGGTATGTGCGTCTGCTACCAATCACATATCATTCCGCGGTTATGCTACGAATGGAACTATATGGAGAAGGACCGGTACCAGGTTGGTGTCACATAAAAACTACTCCACCATCGTTATAAGGGTGCTATGGGTCAGATTGACCAAAATAATTATAATAATAATAATGTCCTTACCCATTTTTGACATTTCCTAACATTTATCCACTTAAGCTCTCATTTCAGAGTGCTTGTTATATCATTAATCAATAATAATAATACTCAGCTTTTATATAGTGTGAATTACAAATAAGTCGCTAAGCGCTTCCAAACTAATTACCCCGGCTTTAGCTGTGCTGCCATTACGGAGCTCTAGCAGTACCCATTAATATCACCTGGGTTGAGTGTGACAAATGTAGATCAATGTTTTGCCAAAGGACATTAGTGCCGCGGCGGGACTCAAACCGCGGACCTTGTGATCGTCAGTCCGGCGACGAAACCACTCGACCACGACACCTCTATCAAGTGTATAAATGTCTCAATCTGTCTGAATCCATTTTCTCCAGACTAGTCTACAACTCCACAGATTAATAGTTGTGACTTCTTCCAAACATGAATTAACTTTGGGAATATAACAAATTCTTCAATCTTAACCATAGAAAATCTAGAAGCAGGACCGATCATCTCGTTACTTCATGGTAATGCACCGGGCGAAGGCTTCGTTCTCAAAGACGATGGTTCGAGCAGTGGGTTTCTATGCGGTGAGTCTTGGAATCTTCAGAGCGCTGAGGTGGCTTGTCGTATGCTCGGCTTCATTGGGATTGAATCATTCACTCAACGTGTTGTGTCCTCCATCCCTTTTGATCCTATTTCCGTGCAAGTCCTTCGTGATGGTTACATCTGCAGTGGAAGGGAGCATACACTTTCCGAATGCACGTCAGTCACAATTTATCCTTCATGCACGACGGCAGCTGGCGTAGTTTGCACAAACAATATCGGTGAGTTACGCTTATTGTGTGGACAACCATCCATTGAAAGAGAACTTCAAAATTATGTGGACTCAGGCGCGTACGCAGGATTTTTTCAAGGGGGGGGGGGGGGGGGTTTAACATTTATAAATCGGGCCGAAAATTTCGCAACGACTCAGCCGACCGCTGAATAAGGGGGGGGGGGGGGGGGGGGGGGGGGGGGGGTAAGAGGACACTTTTTTTTTTATTTTGGTCTCGAAATTTGAAAATTTGACATTTTGCTCTTGGGGGGGGGGGGGGGGTAAGGTCACCTTTTTTAGGTCAGTCATGGGGAAAAAATCCAAATGGGAGGGGGGGGGTTAGGTTAGGGGGTTATGGGGGGGGGGGTTTACACACAGAAAATTACGAAAAGGGGGGGGGGGGGGTTAACCTCCCAAACCTCCCCCCTGTGTACGCGCCTGTGTGGACTAATATTGAGATCAAGAAATTGTAGCGGATCTGAGATCAAAGTGCTACAGAGGCTCTGATTATAATTTGTATCTTCTTGTCAGCCAATTCCGAAACTCGATTGGATCGGGGGGGGGGAGGGGGGGGGAGGAGGACAAATTATGACCCACAACAGGATAATTAGATAGGTCTATAAGCCTATATCACCAGCTCCATAAAGTTTCCGACGTGTGGGGCGGGGGACGGGGGTAGGGGAGGGGAGGAGGAGGGTGGTACAGAGAAGCAGTTCACCGAAAATCAGAAATAAAACATAAAAACACCTTTTATCGACTTTTGCCGCCGACTTGCAGGAAGGGCCATGTTGCTATTTGCATAACTGAAGACTTGTGATTGCATTGATGAAATCTTTTTCTGGCAAACGAGGGTATATTTCATATCATTTTTCTAACCTCATTATGTTGTTGAAAGGAATCCCTATATATTTAATTTTGGTTTCATTTGAATCATTTTGATTTAGTGAAATGTTATTACCCTTTTGGGTTCTTATTCCCAACGGCCCCACCGGTGTGAATTTCTCATTTCCATTTCCATTTTTGCAAATGTTACAGAGATATGAAGAGACCGCTTTATTATGAGTGCAATTGTGCAAACCGTATACTCTTCGCCTCTCCATTTAGCGACAAACTGTCTGTGAAGTCATTCTAACTCATAATTCCTTGGGGAAAACCACACTGGCACATTTTTCGATTGATACATCATTTGTAAAATGCCATGAATATGTATTCAAAACACCATGTTAAAAATAAAAAAACTATTATCTTCTTCTACTTATTTATTTGTCAAACATTATGACGATGAAACTTTAGATGAACACAATAAAGTTATTCAATAGCACTTAAGATTGATTTTATGAAATCTATTTTAATCTAGTGTAACATGCCTAACACACGTTTAGGTTTTTCACATATTATGTTTAGTTTATTAGATACAGAGTCAATTTCCCTTCATAAAAATAAATTATCTTAATGATTGTGTAAAATGAATGACCTGAATTATTAATCCTAAGTTATCAAAAAACACGGAAGACCTCAATTGAGAGGGCTTATGCCGAAAGGGTGGGAGCGTCGCGTGACGTTGATGGACGCTACCATTCGTCCAAAGCCCCCCCCCCCCCCCCGTCGGTTTGGCCGAAAGGATGCGTTGACTAGTCTTCCACATCAGTCGTTTTAATAGAATTTAAGGAATAGAAATTTAAGTCGTTTAAACTCAAATAATCAAAATAGAAACAGATTAGAAATTAAATAAAAACTAGTTTTGTACGTAGTCTTGCACATCAGGCGTTTATAAGAATTAATAAATAAATAAGAAGAAACAAAATCTAATAATTTACTTTGATATTTAAAAATGTCAAATAAAGGTGTTTAACTAGTCTTGCATATCAGTTTTTATTTATCAAAATAACAAAAAGAGAATATCCATTTCTTTCTATGTATGGAATTCAGAAAGCCCCCCCCCCCCAGCTTATCCGGCCCAATAAGAAAGGGTGTATTAAGGCGATAGGCCTACTCTGTTATTTATTCATTATTTGTTATTTCATTTGTAAAGACTGTTATGCATGTCTAGTTAACACCAACAACAAAATTCTATTCATAGTATATTATTTTTATTTGACATTTTAAAAACTTTATTGAATTATGATTTAATTCTTATAAACGCCTGTTCTGCAATACTACGTAAAAACAAGCTTTATTTAATATTATATTTTTGTTTCTATTTTAGGTATTTCAATTTAAACGACTAAAATTTCTAGACCTTAAATTCTGTTAAAATGACTGATGTAGAACACTAGTCAACGCACCCTTTCGGAAAAAGCCCCCAACGTAAAAATAGTTTTATTTGATTTTAATCTGTTTCTTTTTTTATTATTTGAATAAAAAACTGAACTTAAACTTGAACTTAAACGACTTACATTTCTATTCCTTAAATTCTATTAAAAACGACTAATGTGGAAGACTAGTGAACGCACCCTTTCGCCAAACCGTGGGGGGGGGGGGGGGGCTTTTGATGAATGGTCGCGTCCAAGTCAACGCGACGCGACGCTACCCATCCTTTCGGCATAAGCCCTTTGGGAAATTTGCTCCGAAATGTTCAGGCACCAAGTATATACGCGTATTGTGCACTGATGCTATTCAACGCGCTTTCCTTATAGCATTTGGAGATTGCTATTTAAACAAACAAGTTTCCTCTAAAATTACAGGATACTACTATACGATTACATACGGGTGTCATGAGGACTGGTGAGGACTTTCTTAGATCTTGCCAATCAGGATATCATTGCATTATTTTTAGGCACCCCATATAATATTAACAAGGTATTCTTAAATTCTCTCATATGATGTTCATCCCATCTGTATCAGTACGGTTGTCCGGCTCTTCTCTTCGTCAATATGGACATGTAGAGATATACACCAACACGACCGGTTGGGGTTCAGTTTGTGCCCAGGACTGGGACGACCAAGATGGCCAGGTTATTTGCAGAATGCTCGGATATCCAGGGATGTCAAGACGCTCCTCATTAGAGTGCCAACAAGTGACATACTCCTATTACGATTGGCGGTCTGACTTGTGTCGGTAGTGAGGCAGCATTGAAGAATGCATGTACGATGCTGGACAAAACATTGCTTGTGGTATCGACAAAGTAGCACTACTCCGTTGTCAAAACGCAGGTAGAGTATAATCCATGCACAGGCTTACACATGGCTCTAGAGTTTAATAGGAAGAAGAAAATATTGAGAATAAATACGAATGTCAGTATTATATTTTTTCTTTAATTAAATTTTTATCTGCTAAATTGGTTCTTCGTGTGCAATAATATAAACAGTAGTGTAACTGTCCTTGTGAATGGCCGAATGCGCTCATGCACTCATCATGACAAGACATGTAATAAAGGTCAGTAATTGCACGTGTACATGCAACCAAAGTAAATATTTTATGATGAACAGGGCAATCCCGCCCTCCCTCTCCCCACGCACGTTTCCTCCTTTCGAAAACACCTTTAAGTCCCGTGCGTAAAGTCAATACGGGCCGGATTTTTGTGTACTACCAGCCGGACTTTGGTGCGTGAACAGTACCCCTTTACCGGACATTTTGGTAACACGCATGGTATCCCTCCATTCAAGGAGTGGGGGGGGGGGGGGGGGTGGGTTATGTGACTAAAACTAAATTAGAGCATTTAAGGGCTTAATGATTGGCCCTCATTGTGCTGACAAATATCGATCACTCTCTTGTTTCAAAATTTAATTTCTAAATCGTTGCTTTTAAATGCTGTTCTAGTTCGATGATCCAAAACTTTATCAATATTGTAATATCATTTGAAATAACGAAAATAATGGAACTATTTATTTTCATTTAAAGAGATATTGTTGGTCAAACGTTGATTTCCTCTCTTTCAAGAAACACACTGTGTACTGATGTTATTGTGCTATATGAGAACATCCCCAATATCCTTGTGATTCGTCTTCAGTACGGCTCGTAGGGACCTGTGAATCAGAAGGTAGAGTCGAGGTTATCAGCACGGTTCCTGGGGACCTGTATGTGATGATATCTTCACGGTAGCGGACGCAACCATTGTTTGCCAAATGCTCGGGTTACAATTGGTGGAACTCTTAGACTGGGACGTCCCACCATCTGTAGTGTCTTCGAATAGCGCTCCGTTGAAGAACCCCGGTGTGGCGGGAATGAGACAGATATCCGATATTGCATGCAAGAACCAAACGCAACTTGCAATAAATACGCAGCAGTCAAATGCAGCGGTGAGATTCTATACTTTTTAGAGGATTGCTCTTTTTTTACAAGGGGGGAGGGAGAGGGGGGCTGGACGGGTTATGGGGACGAGATGATTTTTTTATTAATGAGCCAATGAAGTGCCATTATGTATAGTTACATTAAACACTTGGAACATGGTGAAGCTATGTGAGACCATGTATATGCCTAAGAACGCATTTAAACGGAATTTTGATCTATCATCGCAGAACATCTTTTTCAAAATGAAATGTTATATTAGTTTTACTGTAAATACTTCGAGCAGTGTACCTCCAAACGGAGTTTGAAGTGAGATATGCATGAAACTTTATAGAAAGAGATAAGAACACCTGATGTGTCGGATGCAGGTGGTACACAAGATACCATTATTTTTTTTAAATTACTTATCCTTGTATCATTACATTGTTGATGTAAATACCGTATGTTCTAATATAAAGGCTCAGTAGCTTTCCTGTTATAAAAGAAATTTTGAAAAGGACGATTACTTGTTCTGAATATCCAGGTAATTTCTTTTGATACCTTCTCATTCCAACAGATCCCCTAAATCTTTGTGTCGGGTCGATTGGTGAGTATTTTGATGAAGACTGTCATTACATTTGGGTCAATTTCAGTTTAACGGAGAATGACATGGCTTAGGTAAAATGATCAATCCGATATAAACAATTGTGTGGAAGATTATACCCAGGGATTCCTAAAATTCCCAAAATCGATTAGAATTCTCAAAATTTACCACACTCCATCTTGTCTCCTCTTCGCTGATCTACACACGGTCATTTATCTTACTAACTATGACCATGAAGCCTTTTTAAAGTAGAGGTATCGGGTTCGAGTGGATAAATCACTGGACTGTGGACCTCATGATTTTTTCGAATCCCGCCGTGGCACTATAGTCTCCTTTGGAAAGATATTCTCCAAATGTTTAACACCACAACCAGGTGAGTAAAATGGGTACCCTGCATGAATTAATCCCTGAAATGCTAGAGCGCCTTAATGGATTTCTCTCTCTACGTGCCATATCCCAAGAAGCTCAGCTGTCGACCTCTCAGGCGCGTACGCAGGGGGGGGGGTTTGGGGGGTTAAACCCCCCCTTTGGAAATTTTTTGTGTGTAAACCCCCCTAAAAAAAAACTAAAACCCCCCCCTTTGGATTTTTTTTTTTTTTTTTTTTTTTTTTTTTAATTATTAAAAAAAAAAAAAAAAAAAAAAAAATTATTCCCATGGCCGACCTAAAAAAGGTGACTTACCCCCCCCCAACGGAGCAAAATGTCAAATTTCCAAATTTCGAGACCCAAAAAAAAAAAAAAAAAGTGTCCTCTTACCCCCCCCCCCCCCCCCCCCCCCCCCCCCCCTCCCCCCCCCTCCCCCCACCCCCCCCCCCCACCCCCCCCCCCCGCTATCAGCTGCGGCGGTCGTTGCGATTTTTTTGGACCAAAAAAAAAAAAAAATGTGTCCTTCTTACCCCCCCCCCCCCCCCCCCCCCCCCCCCCCCCCCCCCCCCCCCCGCTTATTCAGCGGCTGGCTGAGTCGTTGCGAAATTTTCGGACCGATTTATAAATGTTAAAACCCCCCCCTTGAAAAAAATCCTGCGTACGCGCCTGCGACCTCTTATATTATTCAGAAGCTACCGTCTCGTTCCTGCCACGGCAAATACCTCATTATTAGAAACTCTTTCTGTCCTTCTTAGCATCCTTCTCAGGAACCAAACTTCACAGCTTGCCAGTTGCTTTCTTTGGTCGGTTGTCAGGATCCAAGCTTTACATCTATACATCATAACTGGATACGTAATGCAATTGCGTACGCGGAGTCTCGTTTTCATCTTCAGCTTCTTATTCTTTAAGATGTTTCTCACCTGGAGAAAGTTGATTTTGCAAGTGCAATCCTTCTCTTGATTTCTTGCCCGCCTCTTGCATCGTCTGTAATTGAAGTCACATGGTTATTAACAGAGGCGGCTTGCTTTATTTGATTGTTGTTGATCTTACGAGAGTATGGTATTCTTCCCTTCTTTGAACTTACCATGCATCCCGTTTTCTAGTAATTTGATGAAATCTATCCTGTCACTTTCTCTGACAACAACATATAAAAGTCGCTGCAAGTCCTCCTCTGATTCTGCAATTAATATAGTACCATCTGCATACCGTATGTTTTGTGATATTTTGTCCTCCTACATTCAATCCTCTTTCCCGTTCTAGGATTCTAAGTATCAACTCACTGTAATAATTGAAGAGATCTGGAAACATGAAAATCTTTGCCGAACCCCCCTCCTAATGTTGATGTAGTCACTTAGTTCTGTTTCCACTCTAACACATACTGTTTGCTCCAAATACAGGTCTTGCAATAACTTAACATCCTTTGTGTCAAGTCCAATTTTTGTTAAGTCTTCATATAACCGATTGTGTCTTACTTTATTAAAGGCTTTTGTATAATCGATGAAACAAAGGAAAACGTTTTTATGCATTTCTACGGCCCTTTCTGCTAAAGATTGCAGAGCAAAAACAGCATTTCTAGTTCCAGCATCCTTGACGAAACCAAACTGCACATTACTAATTTCTGGATTTAGGTGACTCCTTGCTCTTAGAAGTAGAACTCGCAAGATAATCTTTGTGATATGGCTCATAAGGCTAATGATTTTATGTTGCCCGCATTCCACTGATCCAGATTTCTTCTGGAAACTTTCCATCACCATAGATCTTATTGATGACTTTATGTAGTTTCATGACACCATAATTCTCCAATGCTTCGACCATCTCCATTAGGGGGCCTACTACTCCATCGGGACCAGCAGCTTTGTTCCTCTTAATCATACTGATCACTCAGCTCACTTCTGAGAGCAGAAGCCTAGGTCCTTCAATAAATCCTGCACAGTGTGGAGGTTTTTTTCTTACATCGTCTAAAAGCTCGCCAATGAGCTCAGTCCATCTTTTCAGTATCTTTTCCTTTTCAACCAGTACTGATCCATTCCGACTTGATGCAACTTGGAGCTCCGAAATTTCTTTTCAGAAAGGTCATTTACCTTCTTAAAAACCCTGGGATCGTTTGCATTAAAACTTCTCTCTATCTCGTTTTCTACAAGAATGTCTCTCATTGGTTCCCAAGTGACCCCTCTCCCTGGTCGGTGAGACTATCAAATCTGATTTGTACTTTGACAGCATATCGGAGGCGATCATCTCGATTCTGTATGTGTTCGAAATCTCCCTTCCGGATTGACTTGGCTTTTTTCATATTCTTTAGCTCACATTGCAGAGTTGCCACAACAGGAATGTGATCACTTCTATACAGTCTGCACCCGGATATGTTTTAGCTTGCTTCACACCTCTTTTAAAACGTTCTTAATGCTGAAGCCGGGTTAATACTTGTAGAGTGCCAGGAGTGTCAATTTTACAGACATAAGCTCTTTACAAAAACCCATTATTATTATTATTATTATTAATACTATTATACATCCTGAAAAAGAATTAGGATGAAGTGTGTGATGACATAAAAAGTCCACGATAATTGTAGAAGAGCACGGATATGATCAATATGTATAAATCTGTGGTAATCCAACCCCAAAAAATCTTGTACTTAATATTGAATAAGTGTTTGAGTTTCGTACTTTTTTTCTCTGGAACGGTTGTTATAATATATGAAGACTTGCTTTTTAAAATTTCTTCTTTTTATTGTTTTAGAGGACAGCTACGTCGATGACTCTTATCCCTCCTGGTCCAGTAACGCTAAGGACGGAGACATCGATAACTCTTTTCCCTCCTGGACCAGTGACGTTGAAACAACAACGAGGCAACCGCTGCAGAAAATATCTACTCAAATGATGACGACAGGTACGTCAATAACAGTGTCACGTAGACATCCCTGCTAAAGCCGGGTTAATAATTGTAAAGTATGGGAACTTAAAGTTTGACAGATGCAGTTATACACGAACCCATTATTATTATTATTATCATTATAATTAATCATGAATAAGAAGTAGGATAAAGTTGTGATGTCATAGAAAGTCCACGTTTGTAAAAGTGCAAGGATAGATCGATATGATAAAAACTGTAATATTCCAACCCAAAATAATATTGTACTTGAATAATATTGAATAAGTGTTTGTTTGTTTTTGTACTTAAATATTGAATAAGTGTTTTTTTTTTTCTCTCGTGAACGGTTGTTATAATAATTAAAGACTTGCTTCTTAACCTTGATTCTTTTCCTTGTTTCAGTTGACACGGCCTCAAACCCCACCACGGTTAGAGAGACGACCACCTCAGACCCGACAACGGTTAGAGAGACGACCACCTCAAACCCGACAACGGTTAGAGAGACGACCACCTCAGATCCCACCACGGTTAGAGAGACGACCACCTCAAACCCCACCACGGTTAGAGAGACGACCACCTCAGACCCGACAACGGTTAGAGAGACGACCACCTCAAACCCCACCACGGTTAGAGAGACGACCACCTCAGACCCCACCACGGTTAGAGAGACGACCACCTCAAACCCCACCACGGTTAGAGAGACGACCACCTCAGACCCGACAACGGTTAGAGAGACGACCACCTCAAACCCCACCACGGTTAGAGAGACGACCACCTCAAACCCCACCACGGTTAGAGAGACGACCACCTCAAACCCCACCACGGTTAGAGAGACGACCACCTCAGACCCCACCACGGTTAGAGAGACGACCACCTCAGACCCGACAACGGTTAGAGAGACGACCACCTCAAACCCCACCACGGTTAGAGAGACGACCACCTCAGACCCCTCCACGGTTAGAGAGACGACCACCTCAGACCCGACAACGGTTAGAGAGACGACCACCTCAAACCCCACCACGGTTAGAGAGACGACCACCTCAAACCCCACCACGGTTAGAGAGACGACCACCTCAGACCCGACAACGGTTAGAGAGACGACCACCTCAGACCCGACAACGGTTAGAGAGACGACCACCTCAAACCCCACCACGGTTAGAGAGACGACCACCTCAAACCCCACCACGGTTAGAGAGACGACCACCTCAGACCCCACCACGGTTAGAGAGACGACCACCTCAAACCCCACCACGGTTAGAGAGACGACCACCTCCAACCCGACAACATTTAGACAAACGACCGCCGCAAACCCCACCACGGTTAGAGAGACGACCGCCGCAAACCCTACCACAGTTAGAGAGACGACCACCTCAAACCCGACCACGGTTAGACAGACGACCACCTCAAACCCGACAACGGTTAGCCAGACTTCGATTTCAGCCTCTACCCACAGTGAGTACTCGTATCTAGCTGTATTGTATATTATTTGAAGGAATTCGTATGTGGGATGATGTGAGAATGCGAAGAGTGCGTTGGGTTTGAGGGTGATATTCTCAAACTGTCCATGAACCTGTCATGGAGACCTTCCATTACCAAACAAAAAAATGGTTGTCAGTTTACATGTTTCTGTCCGGTTTAGCCCTCAAAACTTCCGAATAAAGACCAGAAGTCAGATGAGTCTCACTTCATCTACCCCACAGACTAAACTCGGTCAAAAGGAATTGATATGACTCTTTATTCAGCCATTCTTCTTACAAGTTTGGTACATTGGTACTTCGTGCGGTGAATCGACCCTTCTTAAAGGTCTTTCAGGGGCTTGATGAGGAGATGAAAGTTGACCGCTACAGGTAGACTAAAACAAAACTGTGAATAACATGGGAGATCTAAATGAGTTTTGAAAGCTTGTGTAGACATTCCTTTTAAACTGCAAATACAAAAGATATATTTACATTTTATTACCAATCAAGATAAAGCCGGAACAAAAGAACGTTCACTGAACACTATTTTGAAATGAGTAATTTTAGTAGTTGCAAGGGCGGCTAAGCATGGTCCTCTATCAAGTCAGGGCAGGGGTGTGGATGAAATGCAAAAGCGGGTCAGTGGCCTTGTCGCATTTACACTACCCGTCTCTCTATATCTCCCTTCATTTACTTTTTGTCCTCAATATTTACTAGGTGTTCCCCGGCAAACGACCTTTTTTGCAATGACGAACCTTCGTCATTGCCTTGTTTTCGTTCACATTCTGCCCCATTAATATTCTCCTTTTCCTCCTTTTCCTTATCGTCCGGAAATCGCATTCGTTTCGCACACAGTGCTTGTTATTCCTAGTTTGGTGCTTTCCTCGTGTCCTTTTCCTTTCAAATTTCATAGGCATAATCTCTAACATCTTATCAAGGTCACTACATTCTTCGATTTTCGAAATCACTCATGCATAACCGTCCAGGCGCCATTTTGTCCGTTTCTGGTCCATTTTAAGGCTTTTCTTTCTTCCTTCCTATCTCCACTATCCTAGATCCTACAAATGTCTAACAAATTCCTCTAGATAGTCTGAGAGATGTTCTTTCATCTGCGACGTATGACTTGACCTTCAAAATGCCATGTTCGTACTCAAAATTCAAATCCGAAACCGACTCCGTCAAAAATCTCTCAAATTCTTGAAAAATGGACCCCTTAAAATCTAAAACTGCCATAACTTTCTCATATAAATTCCGTTTTGTGTTTAAATCTCATAGTATCCTTATCTCATAATTGCACATAGCCATGCCAAATTTCATGCTCCAATGGCTGTGCAAAACATAAATAGCGCCCTCTAAAGTTCTGGGAATTGGCTTTCTCTCTGTGGCCGTATCTCCATTATGGCTTGGCAAACCCGTACCCTTTTTTGGATTTAGATACTTGAAGATATGCCCTTTACCAGCCATATACAAAATTATATACCCTAACACTGACCGACTTTGCGAAAAATGCCCTCCAAATTCGCCATTTTCAAGAAAATTGAGAAATAACTTCAACTTGCTCTAAATTAGCGATCGTTATACCTACATCAATGAAACTTGGCATACAATTGTATCCATATACGTGACGACTGTCTGCCAAGTTTGGTAAAATTCTAATACGTCAGCGCAAAGTTATCGCCAAAAATGATGAATTTACTATGCTTTACGTGATAGCGCGTTTAATGCGTGCAATACATTGCGCGGAGATAACGATGGTGTCAAACTGACCGCAATGAAGTGCCCTTTCGAATGATACCAAGTATCGTATATGTTCACACAGAAAATTGTGAGTAAATCGCATTTGAACAAAGGTCACTACACGAATTCCGCCGAGTTTCCGCCCGAATCTAACACGTATCGGCTATAACGTCATTTTTTCAGACTGCTTTTCGCCCTTTAACGCCCTTTTTTTTCTTGAAAATTTGCAGTGCCATACCGAGTTCCAATGCGCAGGGCACCTTCTGGCCGGATTTTTGAAATTGGTCAAGGGGGCCATTTAAGACGCCATTTTGTTCTATAAATATATTTTACATCACGTGTTTCGATAGGATTATCATAGATAAAAAAAGAGTAGTTTACAATAACAACCATGAAATTCTCTTTCTAATGATACCAAATACGGCCTATAAAGAGACATAAAGAGAGAGAGAGAAAAAACAATTTAACTCCGGTCATAATACAGATCCTGTACGTTTTCCGCCCATGTATTACACGCATTGTCTATGGGACATATCGGGTTCATGCTTTTGGCCCCGAGAACGATCTTTATTGCAATGACGAACATGCACCAAATCCCTTTGGTTTTTGCACGCAGTGGTTGCGAGCCCTTTCTAGGTTCCTTCCCCTATACCAATTTCTTTCAAGCTTCCATCCCATCAAGGTCACTGTTGAGGCCTTTATTTCGCCCTACCTATCTCCAACACAGAAGCTACAGACTTCTTACAAATTGCTCTGGATAGTCCGAGAGAAGCTCTTTCGTTTGACACGTAGAAACATGGCGTCATTGCACGCACATCGTTTTGAGACGATTGCATTTCTAGTGTTATCGTGCGACCGTTTTATATATTTGCTGATATAAAAAAGCAAGGGCAATGAGGTTTTGCGGTGCTAAGAAGACCAACAAAATTGGCAAAGCCTCCTATTTATATGCGGAATCAATTAAGAGGTAAACATTTGCCCTTTCTGGATAATAAGAAAAATGACTTCCTGGGAGATAGTTGTCCTAGAGGATGGTTGTCGTAGGGGGTAGTTGTCTGGGGGTAGTTGTCCGTAGGTAGTTGTCCGGGGGTAATTGTCCTAGGGGTAGTTGTCCCAGGAGGTAGTTGTCCTAGGGGGTAGTTGTCGAGGGGGGGGGGGGGGGTAAGTAATCAAAAGTGAAAGCTCACATTGTCATGAAAGCTAACAATCCCAGAAAATTTCTTATGAGTTTGATGAATTTTCAAAATTCATTAGATGTCAACTAAACTATTGTAAATATATATTATACAAGCATAAAGGCAGAGGCATATTAGAGACGCAGTCGCATACACCTTGTTCATTGTAAAACAGCATCTGAGGAACTAACATTTCAACAAGCTCTGCTTCTAGTTAGTTCCTCTTTTTTCGTGCTTTTTCTATTATATTTGTCGTTTCATTGCATATCTTTGTAATATAATTATTCATTGTATTATGTTTTGCATGAGAAATAAGATATAATCATTCCATTTCATTATATTTTTCGCAACTGTGGAAATCAGGAGGTGACGGCAGTTCACTGCCTTTGGCATGACGTCATATCAAATTATTATACTTTGTTGAACACGCAAATCAAGATTTACCATGGCCAACATAATGGTAGGCCTATAATCGACTGAAGTTTTTTTTCCTGGACACGCTTTTGATATGTGCATCTCATGTTTATTAATATTTGTGATCAATTGCCCACTATACAGCTACAACACTGTCACCAGTCAAAGGAGCTATAGATAAAATATTAAATGTAAGTACATACATAATGTAAGTTGTGGATAAATCTACTGTGAGAAAAAAGACTGGGTCTAATGCATTTTCGGATCAGGCAATGTAATTTCATAATTTATATTTTAAAACTTCCACCAATCAACAACCACAAGGTTCGCTATGTAAACACTAACGGTAGTACTCTTTTGAACCACAGCGAACTATCTGATTGCTATTATACCATTTACGATAGTCTATTTATTTATGTCCTGGCTATACCCTGAATAAATGGTTTTCATTGAAAAAAATGTACTCTTAAGGTTATCTTTCCTCAAAAGATTATTTCCTTTACCACTGATGAATTAAATATATGTATAATCATTTTCCCTTTTTGTTTAAACACATTCCTTCTAGTTGTCATCGTTGACCATGATAGACATCAATGTGCTTTAAACAGGCACGTAGCCACGGGGGGGGGGGGGGATTTGATCGGTTGAACTTTTTTTAGACCCCCCCCTTTTTTTTTTACCTCGATCGATTACATGTATGTCCCCCCCCCCCAAACTTCAAACTAGCTGGCTACGGGCCTGGCTTTAAATGCTGTAAATCTGTAGGGCGAATTAAGTGTAAGAGATATTTTTAATGATCTAGTTCAATGATGCATGTTACCATCCGCCCTTTGCCATGATGATCTAAAATGATCTAATTAGATGTCAACCTTTCGATATTTTATTTTATCTTCAGGAGACTATCACGGTAGACAATTTAGACATCGTGTCAGTTGAACTGGCGAACGTGACTGAGGATTCGAACAAATTTGATGTGGAAGATCTTCAGTCTGTCACAGACAAACTAAGTTCAATTGTTGAATTTGCGTCAAACCAAAACCTGACGGAAGAAGCCATCGTACAGGTATATAATCCTTTTAACAGTGAGTATCTGTAAATTAAAAGAAAAACGGACAGGTGGAATGTCCTCTAGATGGAATAATGGAATGTACTTTGGCAGGACTGCCTAACTTTCAGACACTACATGTCGTATCAATTTTTGCTTAGTGATGGGCGATGGGGGAGGGGATGGGGGCCTACGCCGGGTTTATTCTGCAGTACGTATTAAACAGTATACTCAACTTTGGTAGCTCATAATTTAAATGTGACCTTGAAATCTGGTAAAGTTAATTTTTGTTTTTGCTTATTGATACCCTCTCCATACTTTCTGCCACGTTCGACTGAGCACCAGGGCCTTTAACAAGTGTCGTCAAAATCTTCTTTTACCAAGTTCGGGATGACGGAATGAATGCTGGTCAAGCCTTACGCATGTCTTAAATCCTATCAAAATTTAGATTCTGCTTCGTGCTTCAGCGTTTAAGTGTCTAAACTGTTATACTTTACGTAAGCTTTCAAAGGACATGGTTTCAACCCGTAGGATAACAATAAATCATTCGTAAATAGCCTAGATATACTTATTTCTTGTGTTCTGATATCGACAATCTCTTTGCTCAATCGTTCATTGCTCAATTTATCATGCATAATGTATTTGTCTCGAACTGCACATAAATCACAAAAGTTTCCTTATTTCAGAGATGTTAGTAAATGCAAAAAAGAAAACATAATGTTGATAACAACCAAAGAAATTGGTTGTGGACTTTGATTAAAAAGGTAACATCCCAAATATACTTTGTCCATTTTGAATGACTCTGTAAAATTGCTCACTTCAAACAAGGGTTGCGAATAAAGCTCAGTTGCGTCATCATAACAAAGAAAATATCATAAACTTTGCTTATAATAAGTTTTTATTAGAGATTGATTTGACATTACACACTTCTCTATTCATATTCACTAAACCAATGTCAAAAAGGACTGCAATTGTTATCAGACTGAAATAAATACATAATGGCTTTTGACCCTATTTTGGTACGAAAAGATTTTGACAATACTTTTAGACAAGGCCGTTGCTCAGTCATCCGGGGTAGCTTGGTTATGAATATAAGAAATGTTGAAAAATGGGAGTGTCATTTTAATCGATGTCTACAAAATATCATTGATAAAGGTGTCTGAGAGCGTGATAGGAGCAGTGGATAACATCTTGAACATCCCAGAGAGTACCTTCGAGACACCGAGCTCCCAGCAGGTCTCAAAGACAAAGAACATATTGACTACAATCTCCACACTTACTGAAGCCATTCAAAAGGCATCCACCAAGAACTTCACCTACAGGTTTGTATGAACCACAGTGCCATTATTAGTTCTAAAAAGTCATGGGCACAATACTTTCGAATCCTTTAGGTGCCCCCATCTCAAATACCAATATATTTGGGACATTTGTAACGTTTTACTTCGTCTTAAGAGTATCAACGTTCTTACTATATTTGATGACACTGATGATTCTAAAGGCAATTTTAAATCATTGGCGATGGAAACGGGTGCTTGTGTCTTGCTCGTGCACTAGAACGATATTGCTATTGGCGTTTTGGGGGAAAGTCCGTTATCCTGACATCTTTAATACAACAATGGCCCTTTTTATAAGGGTCAGGTGAAATTCATTTTTTCCAAAGACTATTAACAAATTGTGATCTTGACTTAAGCTATGGTCACAAATCAGAGCAGCGACCGACCGATCAGTAGCCTGCTTGGTCGCTGCTGGAATTTAGGCATCGCCCAGCAATTAGGTCGGTGCCCGGGCGGCGACCGCCCAGGCACGGAGTGTATTTTTGGCGACGAGCGAAAAGTGAGCAGGTGCCGCCCAAATTTTAATTCCGCGCTAAAACGTCAGCGGCGACCGAGCGATGCCCTAAAAACGAGCGGTGCCTGGGCGGCTGCCGCTCGGTGGCCGGTCAGCCGCCGGGCAGAATTGGTTAAAAACTTGCCGCTCGGCCGCCGAGCAGGCTACTTTTGGGTAATGTGACCATAGCCTTACGTGCGGAGAATCCTCTTTATTATACGACTTGTAACAATCTTCTGTTATTGTTCTTTAGACAAAAGTATCTACATGCATATAGCTCCGTTTAGTCTCATTTCACAACGCCCCCTATTGTCAGAGTACATGTTAGCCTATGGACGTTTTTGTTTTTAAATCGTTAAAAATTCATTTTTTGTTTAAACGAAAAGCACATCCACCCCGAAGTACCTTATCACTAGCTCTTTCATTGGAGCCCTCATGTCTCATTGACTTTTGAAAGTTCACCCACCGTAATTTTTCAAAATAGGTTGCAAGCTCGTCATTGCCTATAATACATATGTGAAACAAGTCGAACTTTGGACTCAGTCTGCCAAGTGATTGTAAGATTATAGGTCAAGCACACGAAGGATAAGAAGCATGAATTATCAATTATCACTTCTGCTATGTTCATTATGTCCATTTCATCCAACCCCCCCCCCCCCCACCGTAATTTTTCCATTTAGTAAAAGCAAACATTTTACCGAGTTTAGCAAAAACATGAATATTCATGAACGGTCAGACAATACAGCCTTTTAGTACGTAACGTATAGTGAATGGGAATGGGCGATGATCCGTCCAGGAGGTAGAGGTCAGTGTTTTGTGCTGGCAATGTTCACGCGAGCGAAAATGAGACAATCGGAGCAATATGAACATCATTTTTAATTTTATTTCTGTGTAGTGGATCAAATATTGTACTGGCAGCTGTCAAAGTAGACAGGAGAAAATTTCCCCTCACGACGGCGATAGGAGGAGCCATGGATGACGACATAGACTTTTCAGCCAATGAAGGATCTCCGTCTAACGCGGCAGGTGTAACGTCAGTATCTCTACCGGAAGCAATTCTCCCTTCAGTATCTGGTAGGTTCCCCTCTTCTAACTATTGACTTTTATGTATAAAATACAGTAATGTTAAATTGCAATTGTAAAATAAATTTGGACCAATGCAAACATGCAAAATAATTTATTATAAGAACTAATGCTGCAAAGGGAATGCAGGGTAATGCAGGTACCGATGAAACAAAATTTCGAGCCCAAAGTGTGAAAATTATATTTATAAGATAATCACGAGTGACAAGTCGGTCTAAGACTAACGGCCCCATATTAACTTATATCATGTATCTTAAAATAACATGATTTTCTGTTAATCATTTCAGGTACTAACCAGGTAATATCCGTCAGCGTGTTTCTACTAAACTCGCCCAAGCTGTTTCAGGGTGACAGGCCGTCCTCATCCAGTACTCCATCGTCTGGAGACGAGCAGAATCAGCAACCGAAGACGGTGTCGGTTGTCGCTTCTCCTATCTTAACTGTGACCATTGAGGGAATTGATATCAAAGACCTCCCTGATAATGAATCAATTGTCTTTGTGTTTCCTGTGAATCAGGTAGGCATATGGTGTCACGACATACATTCCTAAAGAAGGCAATATACAAGATGAACACAAATAATCATGTAATCATTATACATTTCGAATTTTGAAATACAGAAGGTTAAAGGTTGGAATCTACAAACAATATTAAGAGAAGACAGATTAATGCACTCCAGAGGTCAAAATATTCAATCTCCATGCCAATCTTTTATAAGTTTCTCTCATTGCAAACTGAATAAATGAAATAATAAGATAATACCTAACAAAAGCAAAATCCTTCCTAGAAAATTCTTTGCAAAAAATTAATCCTTTTTTTTGTTAAATATCAACCTTTAACTCAGACATTGATTAGAGAAGAAAATGATGCTGAGGTGTCTCAACGTTGTGTGTATTGGGACATCGACTTAGGAGAATGGTCGGACGAAGGGTGTAGAACCGAGAAAATGGCTCTTGAAGGGATGGTGTCTTGCCGGTGCTCTCATCTCACGAGTTTCGCCGTTCTGCTGGTATGCATACGCTGCATCAATAATTCTAATTCCAAATAGCATGGTAAAAGTCTTGGAAATCAGCAGCGTTCCCTATATCGATAATCTATTTCAACATATCTATTACATGATATATATATATATATATATATATACAAATATAGTAAAAACCACCCAGGTATTGCAGTTATTCATTTTAACATGGCCAGTGGGAAATGTGGCCATGAATTTAACGGTTTGGGTGAACCATCGAATCTAGAAGATGAAAAGCGATCTATTGCGAAAGCTCCTTTTATACTAAAAGATAATCGAATAGTTTCATCCTCTCGTTTTAACGGTCTACAAGTTACAATTTATATATATACCTTTTCTATGTTATTGGGAAAAACATTCTGGGCCGGTAGAATTGAGTCCGTTTCTAGATTAGACTTATACCATATGTATTTATTATGTATATTCTTCATAGGATATCAAAGGAAGTATCATATCTAAAGCTCTTGATGTAATCAGTCGCATCGGTTGTATAGCTTCGATCATTTGTCTCGTCATAACCCTCTGCGTTCTGCTAGGTTTTAGGTAAGATTCCAAACTCCCTACCCTCATCAAACAGTACAATGCATTTTCTAAACATAGGGGATATTAGAGGAACAGAAATATAATATAAAGAGATATCTAAAGATCACAAACAGAGAATATTTGGTACCATGTTTAATCTTAAAATAATCGTTGTATTTTGATGCTTCTAAATTACTGACAGAATTTCCAGAAGATGTCGTATTCGATTTTTCTGTAAAATTAGAAAGATGATAACGAAGAAGCCGCAGTTGATCGATGTTGTAACGTTGAGACAAAGATCTTCTTATAAATAGTTTGGGAAAATACAACTCTCAAGGAATTAATAATTTATATCTAGAAAGTGTGAAACAGTTGCAAAATACACATAAAATCTGCAAACGCAAGTTTTATTGAAAATAAACTATATTATCACTTTCAAAAGGTTACATCTTGTCAAAAATATTCTTCATCAACATTGGTATCATCTTTACTTCACAGGAAACTGCGCAGGAAACAGCCACAGAAGATACTTATTAATCTCAGTTTCGCGCTACTAGCTCTGTACGTCACTTTCGTCATCGGTATTGACCGACCAACTTGGAGGATCAGCTGTACTGTGGTTGCTATACTATTGCATTACTTCTGCCTTGCATCGCTTGCTTGGATGGGTGTAGAAGCCTTCAACATGTACATGATGTTTGTTAGGGTTCTGAATTCATACATACCGAAGTTTCTACTAAAATGCGCTATGATTGGTTGGGGTAAGTTGTTGGATTTAAAAGTACAAGAATTATCATAAATTTTTATATAAAACTATTTCGTGAACAAATCGCCTATCGATTATTATTTATAAATCTCAGAATAAAAGCCTCTAAAAGTGAACTCTCTGTTTCTCATTTCCAATGATCGACATAACTGTTGTGCTATTAAACTGTTTTGTTCCCTCATCTTTACATTCTCTGTAGTAACCTGTTACTTTAATATTTACAAGAATTGATGTTACAGATGGTTGATACCGTGAAATGCATGTCATTCCTCACGAGGCCGCAACAGCCTACCTTCTATCTATCTATCTCTTAGGCTATAGTTCATCTAGACGTTGGACAAAGCCTTCCTCATAACATTTCCATTCTCTTCTGTCTCTAGCTGTCATATGTACAAAAAGGTCGGGAAACACCGGGATATTCCTATATTTTCTAATACGATATAAAAAGAGAAAGTTTCATTGAATAGACACGGGTTTAATCTGCTGATGATCATTAGTAGATAACGTAAAAGGGGGAAGGGTTATTCATCTATATTATAAATCTGGTTCCCCAGTTTTGGGAGGGAATTCTGGCCACTTAATAACACTGCTACAGCTTTGTTATTCATTTTTATTTGTTGCATCTGAACGTAAAATTATTAAAAAAATATTGAAACTAAAGGCTATCATTCTGGTTTTCTCCCACCCTGTTAACATTTAACATGTTTTAATGTTGTGCTTATCTCCCCTTTTAATGTGCTATTCTTTTCAACTATGCTGTCTATTACATTTTTATACAGGCATTCCATTGGTCGTCGTCATAATAGCAGTTGCCAGCAAGTGGACAGCTTACCAAAATTATGAATAGTAAGCAATTATTGAAAATTTGCATATATAATTGCATATTTGTTTATGAAATTAAAAAAAAAAAATCCCACGAGAGTTACTGATGCTATTTTGTATTAAAAAATATTTCATATTAAATGTGTTTCTGATTAATGTTCCTGTCGAATTCCAACGGTTTAACCAGATGGAAATTACGCAATGTGTGTGGGTGTCCGTGTAATCAGGGGCGGATCTAGGGGGGGGGGGGATATTTCGGCGGTTTAACTTAACTCCCCCCCCCCCTTGGGCGGCCAAGTGAGAAAGAATTTTTTTTTAGTAAAATAGCGTTATTTGGGGAATTTTTGTTGGTCGACCCTCCCCCCCCCCCCATGACAAAAAACTAAATCCGCTCCTGGTAATATGTGCGCACGTGTGTATGTGTGCGAGAAGGTAATATTATGTTACTGCAAAAGGCATCTACTTTATGACGGAGAATGAATTCGAACTGGTGACTTAACATCCGTAATTTGTTTTTATTTCCAGCTGTTTCATTCTCCCTGGATATTCGTTATACTTCGGACTGATCCTTCCCATCGGACTCATCCTGTCATTCAATGGCATCATTTTCGCTATGGTACTCTACAAACTGAGCTGTGGAAGGATATCAACCTCCAAGTCAAGCACATTGGAGTCAAAGAAAGAGAATATCGTTAAAGCGCGCATGGAAGCCATTCGCCGCGCCCAAAACGCCATCGCGATAGGCACGCTGATGGGTCTGACATGGGCTTTCGGGTTTCTGTCTTTTGGTGGCGGTCGCTACTTGTTTAACATCTTATTCACCATCTTTAATTCCCTTCAGGGAGTTTTTGTCTTCCTTCTATTTGGCATCAGGCAACCAGAGCTGAGAGAAAAATTGAAGATGACTAAGAAGCGTTTTCTGCATGGTGCATCGTCTGCCCGTAGACGCAGTTCTGAATTTTGGGCATCGTCGAGTGGAACACGTATGACCCAGCGACCTTCTGACGTCACGTTCATCTCGATGGTTAAAACTGATTCTGTTGCTGAAGGTCAGGCTTCCACGTACTTCGAAAGTACTCTTGATACAGGTCCACCTTTAAATAAATTGTCGAATGATACCCTTCTTTAATGACAGAACAGAAACAGATCTCTAAGATTCGATACAGTGCGACCCAGAAAAAAACGAAACCGAGAATTATCGATGTTTTATCATAATTTATTCGTTATCATAATTAATAAATGACACATATTTGTAAATCTTAGATCCTCCTCTTTCACTTGATGCAGATCATATGATGCATATTTCGCGCATGAGTAATTCAGAGCAATTTGAAGGAAGGAAACCCAAAAGTCATTTGGCGGGTGGTATCTGATTTTCGAAGAAAAGTTCACATTTCTAGAAAGTTCAGTTTCTGCCCTTTCATATGACACCTCAATCTGGAAAAAATAAGCAAGGAATAACAAAGTATTGTTTGTTTAAAAGTGATGCTTGCATTTCCATAATTTGATCTAAAAAGTTCGTTTTCAATGGCTGTCTGTCGTAGCAACAAGCAGAATTGACAAAAAAAACTTAACTCCGCTTCATTTAAAATTAGCCATGCATGACGTCTTTCGTCTATTTCAGTAAATGAGAATCAAATTATATGGAACAATAGTAATATGAAATTGAATAGTCAAAGGATAATATTCAAAAAATGGAATCAAACTGGTCTAGTGAGATTAAAACATGTGATTAGAGACAGTAAATGGAAGGAACAAGGTGTTCTAAACAACTGGATTTGTCCCTTTCAGTTATTATTTGATGTAAAACTTGCCAAATTAAAATAATTATTTCCCGTTCACTTTTTGAATAAGATGAGATCTAGAGAAAATACCATTTAATATAAATTAAAACTAAGATGATTTTTTACACTAAAAATGCTGAAGGAAATATATCATCTACATGGAATGTCATAAATGAACTGCTTAATAAGAAGAGTCGTACACTTACTCAACAAACCTTTAATATAAATGGTTACAAAGTAGATGAGCCAGATAAAATAGCGAATTTGTTTAATGAATATTTTGTAAATATAGGTCCTGATCAGGCTTCCAAAATCGATAGAAATAATCATGACTTTATGGAATTTCTCCCAGAATCATCTTACCCTTCGCTCTTTTTGTATCTGAGAGATTTCATTGAAAAATGAAATATTGTTCGCTCATTAAAATCAAGCCATTCTTATAGCCATGATGAAGTTAGCCCCCATCTGCTTAAAATATATTTGCAATCTTTCGCTATCTTCTGGTGTTGTTCCAGTCCCTTTTCAGACTGCTAAAGTCATACAAATCTATAAACAAGATGACCCCTCTTCTATGTCGAACTATCGACCAATGTCCATATTACCGCGCTTTTCCAAAATCCTTAAAAGAATTGTTTATAACAGATTATATACATTTTAAACTCAAAATGGCTCGCTAGACCCAGATCAGTTTAGTTTCATCTAACTAATTTAGCACTACTCCAACTATCTGAGAGAGTATAAAATGCCTTGGCTGATCATAAACATGTCATAGGCATTTTCATGGATCTCAGCAAGGCATTTGATACTCTTGATCATATTATATTATCGTATAAATTAAAGCATTACGGTGTACGAGGTAAGGCACTTGATTGGTTCGAAAATTACTTATCATCAAAAAAACAATAAACTTCATTCAATTCAGTAACTTCTAACTTATCGTCTATCAAATGTGGAGTTCCGCAAGGTTCCATACTTGGGCCACTATTATTTTGATATATGTCAATGATATCTCTAATGTATTGTTTGCCGATGATACGAATGTATCCTATTCACATTCTGATTTAAATCCGCTGATCGCAACCATGAACATTGAACTACCTAAGTAATATCGAAATGGTTCAAAAGCAACATATTATCATTAAGCCTAAAGAAGACAAAATTTATTCACTTTAGAAACTCAAGAAATCATAATGTTCATAATTTTGAGCTGCTTGTTGAAAATGTTCTAATAGAAAAAAAGTCATCAACAAAATTCTTAGGTGTATATATAAATGAAAGATGTAACTGAAATGATCATGTGAACTGTATCTGTACCCCCATTTCTCGCAATATTGGTATACTATTTAAGCTAAAATACTTGTTGCCAACACATGTGCTAAGTATGCTATATAATTCACTGGTTTTACCATATATTTCTTACTACAATATCATATGGGCTACTCATAAGTATAATACTAATCGTATATTAATGTTACAGAAAAAAAGCAATTCGACTTTGTACCGATGCAGGTTATCGCGACCGCACTGACCCTTTATTTGCCATGATAACGGCATTCTCCCCCATAACTAGTCATATTATTCCAACATAATGCTAATTTTCATTCCTACCCAGCAAGGCATTCTAATGACTATCACCTATTTAACGCCAAAACAGCCTCAGCTCAAAACTCAATAACATTCTGGCCCTGATACCTGGAATGCACTACCCCCTGAAATAAAAATCGATTATTATACAATGCTATCTATTAAAAGAGCGGTGAAAACGTCTCTTATTGCGCATTATCTTTAAATCCACAATCAAAATTTGCTTTAAGAAAATACCTTTAATCTTCATAAGTTCCCCTCGTAAACCCGTCGTTACAAAAGTCGATAATTTTCAGTACTCTTACTTTTTTGCTTCCATTTATTGAAACGTTGATTATTCATACGTTAATTCATACCAGGTCATGAAAGGTTATAAAGAGTGGCCTACTTGGGAAAATGACTAAACACTGTCTTGTATACAAACATTTCAAGGCTCCGACTTGCAGGCCTAGGTTTACAGTCTTTATAAACCAGCTCGCTGAGCTCATATTCTTATTCATATTGTCCAGAAACCTCGCGAGTCTTCTCATTTTATAATATATCCCAAGTTGGCCCCCCAATATTCAAATGTGCATCTTCTTTTTAATTTTTTTTTATCTACATATATCAAATTGAAATCCAACTACCACATACATCTGTGAATTTTGATGTACACCACCTCTTTTCTTTTTCTTTTTTTTCTCTCTCTCTCTCTTTTTCCCCTTTTACCAATATTTTTCCCTCCATATTTGTATTATTATGTATCTATTGAGGGTATTCATGCTAACAAGCTTGGCTTACTTTGTCAACCCTCCGTTTAATGTTTTCAATTAGTTACAGTCAGCCTTACTTTATTCTATATATATTCTTTTGTCATGTGTAAAATTTGCAATGTTTTGTTCGATATATATTTGTGAAAGTGCAAAAGAAAAAGAAAGTTAAACAGAAATAAATAAATAAAAAATCAAATAAATCGAAATAGGAAAAGATAAGACTCTTGGTTCTATAACTATAAAAAGAGTTTATTTAAATTAAGTGCAAAGGTTTCTCAAGAACCGTCAACTATTTATATCTGGTCGAATGTTTTGTCATTACCAGACTATTTCAATTGGAACAAGTTTTTATAGTTCAAAATGTAAAATTAGAGATAGCATGATTATAAGCAATTCAATTTGAAATTTCTGAACAATATTTTACCTTCAGAAGAAATTTTCAAATATGGCGTGTTCTTAATGGCAGCAGGGGTGTAGACAGTGTGAGGAAGTTGAAACAACTTTTCATTTGTTATACACTGTTAACTCGTTAGAACATTTTGGAAAATTATATCACCCTTTTCAAGATAAATGTATATATATAAGAACTATAAGAACTTTTAGTAATATGCTATACAGTGAACGATACTAATGAAATGTTAAAACTTATTTGCAATATAGCACAGTATGCAGTATATCGAAAATATATAAAGTGTTTATTCAAAGGTAAAAAATACAACGCAAATTCTTTATGGTTTGAATTTAAGCTTATAGTGAAATATTATTTGAAAAGTGTAAGTAATTAGAAATTTGGATATGTAGGTGAATTTTTTTTTTCTTAAAATCATTGGTTGCTGTAAGATTTGATTTTTTTATTGTATGTAATTGCTAATAAATACATCTTTAAAAAAATTGACCTTTAAAATAAAGATATTTATTCTTGAACTTTTTTTCTTCTTTTCTAAAGCTATGATCACAACCTCAAAAAGAAGCCTGCTCGGCGGCCGGGCGGCGAATTTTAAGCCAATTTCGCCCGGGCACCGCTTGATTTGAGGGCTTCGGTCGGTCGCCGCTGAAGTTTTAGCGCGGTGGTAAAATTCGGATGCGCATGCTCACTTTTCACTCGCCGCCCAAAATACGCTCGTTGCCCAGGCGGTCGCCGCCCGGGCTCCGACCTAATCGAGCGTTCGACGTAGTGCGATTTAGGTCAAAAATGGAAGCTGCTATGGTGCCCCGCCAATAACCGGCCGGCCGGCCGACGGGCAATTTCGTTAACATCAACTGGTGGCCGGTGGGAAAACGCCCCGGAATCAGTGGGTCATCAGTCGGTCACTGCCGGTACGCCGCGCGGATAAGCACCCCGAATTCGCCGATTTAGTTACCTAAAATCGACCGGCGACCGACGGGAAATTGACAGGGCATCGCTGGGGCTCTACAGCCTGCTCGACTCCCTAAATCGTTGGGGGATGCCTGAATTCCAGCGGCGACCGAGCAGGCTACAAATCGGTCGGTCACCGCTCCGAGTTTTGACCATAGCTTTAAGTTAATATCACAACACCAAAAAGTAGCCTGCTCGGCGGCCGGGCGGCGAGTTTTAAGCCGATTTCGCCCGGGCACCGCTTGATTTTAGGGCATTGCCCGATCGCCGCTGAAGGTAAAATTCGGGCTGCGCTTGCTCACTTTTCACTCGCCGCCAAAAAAAATAACCTTGGTGCCCTGGTGGACGCCGACCGGACACAGACCTGATCGAGCGTTTGCCAGCGAGCGATATAGGTCAAAAATCGAAGCCGCTAGGTCAAAGCCTGCCAAGCGGTCGCCGCCCAGTCGCCGTTGGGAGATCAGTCGGTCACTGGGCGGCGAGTTCCAAATCGGTCGGCAGGCTTTGATTTTTTACCTAGATCGCTCGACGGCGAACGCTGGATTAGCTCGGTGCCCGGGCGGTGACCGCTTGGGCACCGAGCGTATTTTGGTGCCCCGCCGATCACCGGCCGGCCGCCGGGCAGTTTCTTTAAAATTAGCCGGTTGCCGGTGGGATACCGCTCGGGAATCGATGGGTCATCAGTAGGTCACTCCCGGGATGCCGCCCGGAAAAGCTCCCAGATTTCGCCCAATTTTGACCTGAAATCGACCGGCGACCGACGCTGTGGTTCTACTACAAAAATCGATAGTCGATGCCTAAATTCCAGCGGCGACCGAGCAGGCTACAAATTGGTTGGTCGCCGCTCTGAGTTGTGACCATAGCTTCACCCTCGGGTTTCTCCTCCCGGTATAACTGATTAGGGGTGTGCAGGTGGACCAGTACACCTGGGCTCCCCTTCTCGTATACGAATAGTGCAAAGGTGGGGACTTTCTTCTACTCGGGGCCTCTATTAACTTCCTACCCCAGAGACGAATAGGGTGGAAAAAAATAATGTAGCTTCTTTATCTGACATTCAGTACATGACATTGGATTATAATTTTATTTAATGCTTTAAGATTTCTAAAGACACAAAGGCTCATGGTTTTTGTTATTCTTCTTTCAATAGCATTTATTTATAAACTGAAGACTTTCATTTCACATTCAAATACAAATATCAAACAAAATCAGATAAAGTCTAAACAAAGTTTTACCAGTACATTTCATGTTAACTTCCAGTCTTTTTCGTAGTTCAGAAGCAAATAAAAAACTCAAACTAGATTTTCTATTATTAACAATCTTATTATTTCGTAACAAAATCGATGTATAAACTGTCTACAAAGCTATGGTGATAAAATCGTCTATTTCGTTATGTTCGCTATTTTTTATCAAAAGATCAATGTTAATGACAATATGCTTGTGAATTTTTTTTTTAATCAACCACGTAACATATGCCTCAAAAGGTTTATTTAATTTACACGTAACCAAAGCATTATCTACTAGCTTGACAGATATTGCATTTTGCATCTTCACTCATTCCATTCTCCATATACATATGAAGAATTTCATTCCAAAAGGAGCTAAATCCACTTTGGGTACTTCTGAGTAAATCGCCTTTTTTTTATTTCTCCACTTTCCCTTTAGCCATGGACCTTAATGTTGTGATATATTTTAAAGGTGTCACCCTGGACCAATAATATATAATAAGAAAAAATCTACCAGTTTTTCCTGATTTTTACTAAATTTTTAGAATTTTTTATTTTGTGGATTTAGCTCCTTTTGGAATGAAACATGTATTGTACCTGGAAAATTTCATATTTTCTCAATAAAGTCACTGAAATTTAGTCAAATTTAGTAGCAAACCTTTCCTTTTAAATAATAATAGTGAAATCACAACTAAAAAACCTTTTGAAAAGAAAGGAAACAACATATCACATTTTCATTCCAAAAGGAGCTAAATCCGTTTTATTCCAAAAGGAGCTAAATCCATGTTTCATTCCAAAAGGAGCTAAATCCACAAAATCTATAAAAAAATTAGTAAAAATCAGAAATAACTCGTAGATTTTTTTCTTATCATATATTATTTGTCCAGGGCGACAACTTTAACATGTTTAACAACATAAAGGTACATTGCTAAAGGGAAAGTGGAGAAATAAAAAAGGTGATTTACTCAGAAGTACCCAAAGTGGATTTAGCTCCTTTTGGAATGAAACCAATTAGGATTTTGCTCCTTTTGGAATGAAACATGATATTGTACCTACATTTTTTCGTACTTCCTGGTGAAATTTTCGAATGTGATATAGTGCATTTTGTCTCCATGTAGGAAATCATTATTTTAAGACAAATAACTCCATTTTGATAAAATATGGATTTAGCTCCTTTTGGAATCAAGCTCTTCATATATTGCCTTCCACAGGCAATACGCTATTCAACACTTTAAAATTGATTCTTTCTATTTGTTTTCTTTTACTTGTAATAAATCCCATTCAAAACAAATCTTTTATTTTTTATTAATCCTCTAAAAAAAAAATCCTAGAAGAAACAACATCGTGTATTTACCCCTTCCTGCTGTATGAGATGGTTTTGTAAATACCACAATATGAAATATGTTAATGTATGCATTGTTGTTATACACATTCATGATTTCATGGAACTTAAAGGTAATAGAAAGTTTTGGTATGGGTTCATGAATTTGGTTTAAATGAACATATTAAAAGCATTTACGATTTTACAATATTTAATGATCGTTGTCGCGCTTGAAATCGAGTCTAAAGTGATGAAATGTTAAATGATAAACTCGTTATATTGTATTACCCTCTCAAGACTGATATTACTTTAGTCTTAAAACATGTTTCGTGACTACAATCGACCGATTTGCAGTATCCGTTTGGAATCGTATATTCTGAGATTTCCACGGTCGCTGCTACCATGGAATGGCCCTAGGCGCTATTTAAAACAAATGGAAATTATAACTTGGACTGCTAATTTTGTCACTGCTTTTATTGAATTGACATTATGTTTATATTGAGACGTTCTGTAGTTTGAATATTTAGAAAGATGTAGATTAAGTAATTAAACAGAATGATATATTTTGATGTTCTTCGTGATTCAGAGAGTCGTTGGTTAAAGAAACCTGATATATTTCACATTTTTTTCTTTTGAAGATTTCGCAAATCAATGATTTTATGACGTCACGATCATAGTAGATTGCAGTATCGTAGTAGCCCCATTTATCCGCGTCTTAGGGATTTGAGAATAACCATCGATCGGTGTCCTGATAATTGCCCCCTGAAGCTTTCTCTTTAGTATGAGACTTTTTTTCTTCATTGTTTATGTTCATAGGTAGTTCTAATTTCAGTAACATAATTATGTTACTGAAATTATGACGATCCGAATCCAAACCATTCCAAAAAGAGGATCCGCTATAATTTTTGTTTTAATGGCAAAAACTGTCCGGATTAGTTTAAGATGGAAATTGTCTCTCTGTATTGTGGGATAGGAGTGAATAACGCTGTATATCCAAATGTATTGGACAAACAACGTCCACAAGACAATAAAAAAATATATATTAAGACCCTAGTGCACACAGATTCATCATGACACTTTTTTGTACGCATCATTGCAGCTGTGGAAGTGTTGTTTTCATTAATTTTTCTGATTTTCAAGATGTTCTATCAAAGTAAGTTCTTGGTGATAAAGGTTTATTTTATCAGAAAATCAATATAAAAGTTCTTTGGTAACCCTTAAGACAATTAATTTGTAATACAAATTGTAATTCTATGAGAAAAACTTGTGAGAATATGATTAAACTCCCCTCCCATTCAATGCATTTTTTAAAATTGCTCTTTATATTTTGCAAATTGACTATTCAATCCACATGACAGTTATACCTATAGATCCACAGTTTAATGAAGCATTTGCGAAGCAGAAGAAGCCAATAATTAAGTATTTTTAGAATAAGATGACACATTTCAAAAACTGACAATCGGCTAAAGCTAAAAACCAGTAAAAGGAGACACATCGCTCAAGTAAAACCTTTCAACTACAATAACTTATTAATCAAATATAATTATCAAAAACCATCAATATGGGAAAGTTATTAGTATGCAAAAGCTATCAATGATAAGAGCATAAAATTATATCACTTGATTTTATTTTACTAAAGTTCTCAAGGTACACTTCAATGACAACAATTTTTTTTTTTTTTTTTTACAAATTAGGCCCCCTTTAAAAATTAAAAAAATCACGCTGTTGGGCATGATGAGCATTGTTACAATGTTTTAAGACATACAATGTGACCCTAACTAGAAGTGATAAATAAACTCGTCAAAATTTCGATAAATCAGTCATTTATTTGATGTGTAATTATCATTTTCGTGATAGGGCTATATCATTTTCGTCTTATTTGATTTCATTTGATAACTATTTTTATTTTTCATTTCATAGTAGATAGTAGTAGATTTTTCTAGTAACATGCATTCAGATTGTATCATATGGGGACTCGCAATTCACATAAATATTGGGGATAGGCCAAGGGGAAATCTTGCATGAGGCCTTGTTATTTTCAAACAGTAAATTTTCCATTACAAACATGTTTTTCATTTTCTCAACTCTAATGTCCGTTACGTCTCACGCATACTTTTACAGTAGTAGTAGTAGAAGTAGTAGTAGAAGTAGTAGTAATACTAGTAGTAGAAGACTTAATTGTTTAATTTTTATAACAAGGCTAAACTGTCACTTTCTATAAAACATCATATTTCTACCCGGAATTAACGATTACAACCGCTTCTCTTACGGGGCACATTGAAGGCACTGGTTCAGTAAAGCCAGTGGTTTGCTCCATTGGGATAATCGTGACGTCAGAGGGTCGTGAATCCATGCGCGCTTCACTCGATGAGGTCCAAAAGTCTGAACCTCTACGCGTAGACCTTACACCCTGCAACAGTCGCATCCGAGTCGCCCTTAGTTTTTCTTTCACTTCAGGTTGCCTGATGCCAAAGAGGAGGAAGACAAAGACTCCCTGGAGAGAATTCAATGTGGCGAAGAGGGCGCTGAATGCTAAGCGACCATCACCTACAGCCAGGAATCCAAAGGACCAAGTGAGACCGAGTAACGTCCCGATTGCAACAGCATTTTGTGCCCGACGAATGGTTTCGATCCGGATTGTGGCTACCCTTTCTTTCTTGGACAGCCTTGTGCTGGTGGCGGAGAAAGTCTTCCTACCACAGGTTAGCTTATAGATAACAATGGTAAAGGTGATGCAATTGCAGGTGAGGATCAGACCGATTGGCAGAATCAGTCCAAAATATAAAGAAGGTCCGGGTAAAAGGAAGCAGCTGAAAGAAAAGGGGAAACAGATATATTTGTCAGTGATCAAAAAAGAATTGTTGACTTTTTCCATTACAGGAGACGTAAAAACGAAAAATATGACATTTGAAATGCATTTGCTACTCTGAGAATTTTAAAATAATCATAATAACATGAACTCAATATTAAGGCAACCCATGTTCACTTCTTTGGATCAATGAAATTATGATCATTCACGCATGTTAAGCATCTCTGTAATATTGACGTTCTTAAGACGTTTTTTGGTGAGTTAGTGTAGCTTTGAATAACAATTATGACGAAAGACGGATCAAAGGTGTTTTGGAACGAAAATATTTCAATATATATATATACATGTATAAACATATCCCTATTACATTTGCAACCAATTTACTTTTATAAGTAGGTTGCATTGAAACAGATTATTATTCTTTCATCGTAGAAATGAAACCACTATGACAAAATAGAGAGCGGGATAGGGAAAAAACAATTACAAGTTAAAGTTTAAAAAACGATGGAGAAGCTGCGTGCACATAAGATAATGAAGGTAATACGTTATGGCAAATGAAAGGAAATGGAGAGTACACTATTAAAGGGGAGGGGAGTTTTTACCCTCAAAAATAAGAACACAAGTCATCTTATTGTGTTGTTATTTTTTTTTTAAGTGGCTGCCTTGGCAGGACATATAGAGTGACATGTGATTATACTGCATCCCTAATATAAACTCGTTGGTAATCATGATCACCATGGTGGTGATGATGATGATTCATAGTACTGATTATGCGCAGTATTTCGGCTAAGAAGATTACCGTGACCCTTTAAAAAAAAAAATCGATTAAAGCAAATCTTGTATTCAAGACACAATGGCATGTCATGACTAGCTAAGACTTCATGAAAGTTTGTGACTGACATCTGGTTTCTTTTATAAATAAATCACAGAATAGCAGTATCTATGTAAATCAAGAAACAAAATATTGGTTTTCATACTTTTCTATTATCTTTTTCCGCTCAATATAGAAATATGAAACAAACTGAATTTTTGACGCAGCAGTAGAAGCAGCAAAAGAATTGTCAAAGTTTCAAAAATTAAAATTTGTTGCTGGTTGTCGGTGTTCTCGAAGCTTTGGAGATTATTCGGCCACTAGTCGTTAATCATTCGCCGATCAGCTAAACAACAAATTTTCTCAACGAAATATCGCCCGGTAGAAATAGGTAAGCACTCGGAATCAGGCCTTGTTCAGGCTGTGATTAGGCGGCAATCAGTGTGAGACATGTCACCTAACCTTGTGGCCAAGATAAACCTGACATTTTCCACGACCAGTTTGATCGGCAAAAGGTTTTCGATGCAGCCGCGTAAACCCCAGCCGATCAAAATGCTCTGGGGACCAATGGCCGACCCCCGAAAACCTTTTAAAGATAGCCAAACACCTCTCTACGACCTCTGACAAGTAATTACCGAACAGTGGTTGTCAGAAATTGTACCCCTAGTGTGACTTAAAGGGGAAGTCCACCCTGAAATTAAGTTAGTTTTAATAGGAGTAGAAAAATGAGAGAAACAAGTCAGTGAAAGTTTGAGCAAATTCCGATTAAAAATAAGGAAGTTAGGATTTTTGAAGTTGTGATCAATCAAACACAAATTGGCAACTCTATGACGTATCATGCGAGCTCAACTTTCATTTGCTCAGTACTAAAAAAATCTAAAATTTTCATTTTCCCTCAAGAAAAAATTTCAACCATACATGCACCCTAAATATAATAATTGCAAATATGTTTCTATACTCCCCCTGCAAGGAACAAATATATATTCCGTAATCAATAACGAAGAAAACATGATTTTATGGAATATTATGCACAAAGCAAATGAAGGAGAGCTCGTATGATAAGTCACAGAGTTGCCAATTTGTATTTGATTGATCACAACTTCAATAATTCATAACTTTCTTATTTTCATTCAGAATTTGCTCAAACTTTCACTCACCTGATTTTCTTATTATTCTGCCTCTATCGAAACAAACTTATTTTGGGGGTGGACTTTCCCTTTAAGATTAACACGCCATATTGTTATGTAACACCTGGTTATATCTGTGTAAACCTGATATGAAGATACATTCAATGTTTTTATGAAAAGCCAAGACAAATTTGAGCGTTGTGGATTACGCACAAAGCAACGGAGGTCTTTGTCGGGTTAAGAGTAAATTGTTTAATCTATTTTCTTACTAGTCAGAGTTTTGATACGCTGTCCATTTACTGGCAACTGTTGCTATGACGACAATAAACGGGATGCCTGTATTTTGGAGTATAAAGACCATTAAAAAATGTCAATAAGTATAAGATGGTGATATGAGAAATGACTGAAGCAAATCAAATGCACGTAAAACCAATCAGAAAAGGGGAAAAAGACAGTGAGAAACAAAAATTGATAATACATGACATCTTGGGTAGCGGTCCTGGATGGGGTGAGAAGCATCCTCTGGGGAAATTCAGGCGGAGATCTTCCCCCGAATTTTTTGTTAAATGCAATAGGAAAAATAAGATATTACAATGTGTATGCCCTAATGTGATCTATAGCACAAAGTTCACGATTGCCCCCCCCCCCCAAAAAAAAATATTATTGCTCGGTGGCTACACCTCATAAAACCTTTATGGGTAGCACACATTTAAATGCGTGTTTTCAAGATCTACAACATACAAACAATATGACCAATATTACAAAAATGCAGGCTCATTGATTCAATAGATCATCTAGGCAATTTAATCATATTCAATGCATAAATCTTTGTGCCATGTTAATTATTTAATTCACCTGTTACAATTAGTTATGTGTCAATAGTCAGAGTGCGAATTGCATACATTAATTGTTGCTGGTAGGACAAACTATTGAAATAAATTCGTTTGTAACAGGTGAATGAAAAAATTTGTAATGAGCACTTTACAAGATTCATTTATTAAATTGATTACATTGTGGAAATGGCCTATTGGTGGACGAGGGATGTCTTTCCATTAACAAAGCCACCCTCTCCCAAATTTAGATTATCCCTCAAATGGTCTGCACTTTAATTTAAACCCGTCTGACACCATCAGCAGAGCAAAAAAAGATTTCCAGATTTGATCGAAAGTGCTAAAAAGTTCCAAATACATGATGTAAATCAATTTGCTGCGACTCCTTGAAAACTTTTGAAATTCCAGACAAATGCAAAATATTTTTTTTTTTAAAGGGGGTGGGTTAGTTCACCCATTTCCCTTGAATGTTAACAAAGCATATAGACTCTTGGCACAAGATCGTACTACATAATGCGACCCTTATGGAATAGGAACTTTAAAGGAAATAGTCTTTGAGACGTGAATAGGACTCAAGCTAAAAAACATAGTCCTATCCACACGTCATCTTGAATACATTCAACCAGAGACTCTCAATGCAGTACATACTTGTGTATTTGGATACGGGAATATCAAGTATATTGTTTATTGTCTAATATGTGAAGAATCGACACCTCGCAACAATCAAACCCTTTTATTCACATAATTAAGGTTTATAAAGATAACATTTCAAATCAGTGAGAGTAAACTCACTCAAAGGTATAATACAAATTTGCGGGGGCTGGGGCTTTGTGTTTAAGTCATCAGAATATCATATGAAAACAAACTCTCGGTGAATTTTAATACCGAAAGAAATCGAGTTTGGAATAAAATCTAGCATTACCCCCAACATTTTTACAAAAAATAAATGATAATACATTTGGGGTGCCTTTCCATTATGCCTTTGAAAGCATTATAAAACAATTTGTTTTGGTGCAATTCAAACGATTGAAAAAAAAAAAAATGAAATAGAACTTTCGACCCACCCCATCCGACGAGACAACACTTTAGGAGTAACTTGGGTATGTAGGTGTCCATAACCCTGACGAATGACATGTACATGCTGAAGGCTTCTACACCCATCCAAGCAAGCGATGCAAGGCAGAAGTAATGCAATAGGATAGCAACCAAAGTACAGCTGATCCCCCAGGTCGGTCGGTCAATACCGATGACGAAAGTGACGTATAAACATAGCAGGGCGAAACAAAGATTAACGATGATCTGTTGTGGTCGTTTTCCACGCAGTTTTCTGAGAAAAGAAATCCACGAAAACATTATTAAAGTCAACGCGTATGTCTACAAAAACCCCTTTCTCTCCAAAGAAAATGAATTATCAATATTCATCTAGAGTAAAATCTACCATATATATTGGGGCTATAGGCAGAAATGAACGAAATTTTATCAAAATATCAGTGGTATTTACAGCCTACATGTGATTTTATCCACATTAAATCAGTGTGGAATATTTTGTAGGCCAACTGCTCGTATATTCTTCCATGTTATTGAACTGTAGTATGGGAAACTATGTACACGGCTAGGTTCTACGTATATTTTGGAAAACAAATTAAAGTAGACTTTGCAATATGATTTCAAAAAGTAGTCTCCATTATAACATGTTAATAAGATCATATTTTTAAAACTATACTTTACAGTACCAGGATTTATTTCGATGGTATTATGCGGCCAAAAAATGATTTTTATATGATTTTCACTATCTTTATTGGATTTTTAAACTCTAATATATAGAATTTCCATACTAGTGGCGGTCCCTAAAACGCTAGATTAGCGGATAAGAATTTTCTTTTAATTCTAAAAAAAAAAATGGGGTATTGTAGTTTGAACGTATGAAAAACGGAAGCTTAGAGGATGACAGTAACAGCTGTAAAAACAAAGAGGTAGGATTGGAGATGGCTCAGTGATAGAGCAGTGGTTTCGAAACTGGGAGGACACGGCTTCTAAACCAAGTGGTTTCGCTAATGCTCTCTATTCAGGCATTTATACGGTTAATTAGTCCCTCGGACAGGAATTAAAGCCGTCGGTCCCCTGGTTGCTTACTTACAAGCATAACACATGCTTTTTTATCAATCAGGTAAAATAAATCATCAAACCGAAATATGTAGGATGTCGTGCTAAGTGATATTGCAAATGTATTGCATGACATGGATTAAGTGAGCCGTTGAGATAAAACGCTAAAACTGACAAAAAGTCATATTAACTTTAGTCAGCTGGGTCCAAACATTGCTTACCTAAAACCCAGAAGAATGCTAATGGTCAAACACAGACACACAATTGATGCAATGCAACCGATGCGACTGATCAGATCAATAACTTGAGATTCAAAACTTCCCTTGATATCCTGAAAATGATAAAGACTAATCATGTGAATTATATCTACAATAGGATTCCCCTTTCCAGAAGAATTTTAGATGCATTCCGGTATATATACAATGGACCAACAGTTCAATTGCATCAAAATTATTCAAATGTTTGCTGTTCGTATTTGTTTTCGATAGCAGAATCCCTATCTGAGAAATTTATCAATAAAAAAAGAAGTTTAAACATGAAAAGATTGGGAGGAAACTAACTCCTTCAAATTCGATCGAATATATTAACATGTAATAATATGCTGATTTGAATAATACTCAAAAATATAATCTTTGCCTTTTATGGCTCTTGAAAGTATTACTAAACATTGTGATTGTAAAACAGTAGTTGGCTGTCTAATAAGTTGTGTTGTAAGTCAAGAAAATAAACACATAGAAAGTTGAAAAAAAGAAGTAAATCTAGTACATACGAAAAGGAAATACATGTATTAATGTCGGCTTTATAGCCCCGGTGCCTACGTACGCATAACTCGGACGTGATACGTACCACCATAAGTAAAGAAGTAGCTAACATGCATACAATTGCATTGTAGTTTTGCATCCCATAATTTCGTGAATTATCTATGCTCAAAACTGTTCAACACTCAATTGTTTCCCATTTTAATATGATTGATATATGTTCACGATCAAGATGTAAGGTCAGCAACATGGCTTCACACGTTAACGAACGAGAACATGTGATTTAAAATGGATATTATACCAAAAGAACAGCAAAGCTTGTGAGATGATTACACAGACAAGCCACCATGTCTGTTGAGGTAGTGTTGTCGATTTTACACCCTTCGTCCGACCATTCTTCCAAGGTGATGTCCCAATACACACAGCGCGCTGGATGTTTGGTGTCATTGTATTTTTCCGTCGAATTCTAAGATAGGTGTGCAAAACAGAGAAAAATGCGTTATTTTGTTGCAAAAACAATTCAGTTAACATTGGTATTCTGATAACTACACCATTAAGAAACATCGCAAATTTTGCTTCTCTGTCCAAACTCTTTGTGTTACACATATTTTATGTGACGACATTCTTCATTACCAAACGTTCCAACAAAACATAATACATCTATCATTGCTTAGATTTGGCTTTATACCGGGTTATAAGTATCGAACCCTGTATAATCGAGTTCTTAATGGGAATTTATATAAGGTACGTGACCTTATTATCTGTTGAATTTACCCTCATTACGACATATGGCTTATCTTCATCATTACAACAAACATTTTTAGTGAGAAGTGCAATTGACAGCTCCTTCATCATGAAACTTAGTACAAATTCGTGAGTTATTAAGTGGTCGTTTCAATAAAAGAGAGTCTACATAAATATACCTGATTCACAGGAAACACAAAGGTAATTGATTCATTATCAGGGAGGTCTTTGATATCAGTTCCCTCAATGGTCACAGTTAAGATAGGAGAAGCGACAACGGTGATCTTTGGCTGCTGATTCTGCTTGTCTGTAGACGAGGGAATACTTGATGAAGATGGTCTGTCACCCTGAAACAGTTTGGGCGAGTTTACTAGAAAGACACTGACGGATATCGCCTTACTGTCATCTAAAGTTCAAACACAGTGTTGTATGCGTTTAATATACGTGAATGTAATAAAAATGCAGTCTTTACAGAAATCTTCATTTCGGGAAAAACTTACTGTTTGAGTAGTTGGTCTCAATGGACTGTCCGGGGTTTCCCACTTGACCGACAGCCCACGAGACCAACATCTACAAATGGGTTCAACCAGTGCGTTTAAGCTCAATTTTTAAAGGCAGAATGAGCGATTTGTAACGCTCATCGTAAACGCTCATCGTAATCGCAGTTCCACGGTGCACTGTTTATGCTCACTTTTCTGGCTCCTCCAGGCAATTCTCCTTGGGTGGCCTTCAGCTGGATTCACAAACCTGTGTGCGCATGCTACGTAGACCCACTAGAGTTCAGTGCGTTGACCCCATTTAAACGCGTTTACAAATTGTAAACGCATCTTTTTGTGAGTTTACGATCGGCGATCGTGATCGCCGTTTTTCGGTGATTCTACAAAAGTGAGAAAGGACGCAACCGTGTTTTAAACTAAACGCGTAACAGATGCCTGATTCTGGCCAGAAAAAGTTAAGCATAAACACGCCCTAACTTGACAAGTGTGGGTGGGGGGAGGGGGGATCGAATTGGGTCAACATCAGATCATTTGCTTGTCTTTTTATTTGTTTGTTAGCTTTGGGTAATATGGTGTCTTGGTTATTCTGATCTCAAACATTTCTTCCTAACTATTGCAACATTAAATGTTAATTTTATGTTCCTATTAATATGGAGTGAACTGTACCACCGAGTTATGAGAATAATGTTGATTTAAGTTTAAGTCCCGAAGCTGTAGTTTTTCGAAGAAAGTAATGTCAACATCGAAAAAGTAAAGAAGAAGAAACAGACCTGGCACTAAAGGTAGAATTGCAGATGGTAATGTAACAGATGCTACGTCCGCCATATTAGACAGAGTTCCTTCATCGGTTGAAATATCGATGACGTCATTCCTGGCTCCACCTATGGCAGTTCTGAGTGGAAAACTCGTCCTATCAACTTTGACGGCTGCTAGTATAATATTCGATCCACTGTATGTAGAAATGAAACCATCAGAGTGTTTGTGAGGGGGAGGGGGGTTACACACGTGGGTATTTGGGCTTATTTAGGTATCAGTGGATGTATCACATTGATAACATGTGTTAAAGAATGTAGCCAATATATTTGATCAAAAGGCACCACGTGCACCTTTCTTTGTTACTCAACCCTGGTGATGTAAATGCGTACATGGCAGGAATGAATAAGCCAGTTCACGGTTGCAGTCAGAGCATGAGCAGATGGTCATTGCAGAACAAATTGTGAAATACACGGAGACGAAATACTGGAAACGTGCTCAAGAAAGTTATGTAATCATTATTCATTTATGCACTCCATGATACACAGGTGGAAGTATTCTTTGAAAAGGGGAAACAAAGGCCATTTATGTAGCACCCCCATCGCTGTTGGAGTGATTATTTCAAAATGTACAAAGTGGGACCTCTTCATGTTTTGAAGATCTGTGGATATTCGGGGTCATTGCAGTAATGTGCTAACCGTGAACCGGTCTATTCCTTGAAATGCTAGAGCGCCGTAATGGCCGCCTTGCCCGAAGCCAGGGTAAAATCAGGCAGCGCCAGGAGCGTCACGATGTGATGGACATGTGCGTTTTATAAGAAGCCATTATCATTATTATCATTATTTATTACCACTGCTTCCGTGCAAACGAAAATGTCCATCACAAAATTATAATGCACTGATAAGATGCACGGTATGCTCATCTTTGTCACTTTATAAAATAATACCCAATGACATTAGGCCAGTTTACAAATTTTGGAAATAAGCTTCATTTACACTGCAACTACGAGGAAGACACACACGAAAAATCGTCGGTTTTTCTCACTTACCGGTGTTTCGCCAGTAGTTGCTATTGCAAACATCCGAATCCAAAAAACACATCTCTGGAGTGTGGGTTTTTTTTTAAACGCCCACCTTAGTTCCAACCATTTTTTGTAATTATTCCTTCCTATTGTTGCCTTAATAAAAAGTGAGGCAAAGCAAACAATAGTAGCAGAGGTCTGCATCTCTAATGGTGCAAATTTTTACCTTTATTTCTTAGTATGTATGATCGCGGTTTGTAAAATTCAATCTTTAAAATATATCATAAGGAATTTCAAATGGATTCGACTCTGATTTCTGAAAACTCGAGATCACTCAATACTGAGACAAGCTAGGAAGGGAATCCATCGCGTCCAGTCAATGAGACCAACGGCACCGTTATCCTCATACCTGTAGGTGAAGTTGTTGGTGGATGTCCTTTGAATGACTTCAGTCAATGTGGAAATTGTAGTCAGTATGTCTTTTGAGACCCGCTGGGAGCTCGTTGTCTCGAAGGTACTCTCTGGGATGTTCAAGATATTATCCACCGCTCCTATCACGCTCTCGGAAACCTATTATAAATTGATTTGTAAGTGATATATTGTTATAGGCATGGATGTAATTTATTCCCAGTCCACTTGCAATAATTAAAGGACAGGTTAATTGATTTTGAATATCGATGTGATTTGCATCATGGCATCAGGGAAAGTGACATCAAACCATTGTATAAAGTACCCGCCTTGGAAACATTCAAAGTAATGATTATTAACAATTATAAAACTAAAATACCGCCCCATTTTCGCTCCTAAGATTTGTGACGTCTTTGACCGAATGAGCTATGCACACGATGTTCCATAACTTACATACACTCAAGTGCCTGTTTTGTCGTTTTCTCTTCACATATTTATCTTACGTTACAAGAGTCATTTAATAACTGTGTTTATTTTTTCTATTCTAAATGTCAAAATTAGTTAATTTTGAAGTAAAAAACAGTCTTAAGTCTTCTACATCAGCGTTTTTCAACATTTTTTGGGGCACGCACCCATTTATGACATAAAAAGTTTCGCATCACCCTAATCCCAAATTCATCAAAGATGATTTGTTTTCCATCCCACATTATTATACATAAACGCCCGCTCGCATTTTTGCGTTAGGGCCGTAAAATAAACTATCCGGATTCCAAATACTGCGAGGGAGCAAGACAAAAATGGCACTTTCATTATTGTAAAAATGTTATTAGTCATCAATATACACTACTATAGACAATGTGAAATTATATATTCGTTCATCTCGTTGCCATGGATCACCCTGATTTATAAATTTTGCAAAAAGTGATGCGAACAAGAAGGAAAAGGACACTTTGTTGTGGTATCATTTTCATTGTGATATTTAAAATTTTAAAAAATAATAAGGTTATATTCCGGCGCCATGCTGCTCGAGTCATGACGATATTCGGGCAGCGAGTACCTGAATACCGTCATATCATCATATGGAGATATTCATAGACCATGCTGCCTAAAACTATCAGATTTTCTAAATTCTGCGCGCAAGGAAAATTATAATTTACTTATTATTTCCTCATAAAAATACCCAAAGTGATATATATATTTGAGCACCTTGAAGTTTCTGATATTTCGTTATTCCAAGAATTATTTGTGATATAACTAAAATTCTCTCGCGGCACCCCTGATGAGAAACGATGTACTAGATAGCTACAATTTGAGGGGCAAATTGACCAGACGGGGAGGGGATTACATAACATTTATTTCTCCATAATTATAAGAGTTTGATTATAAGATAATTATACCCTTTGCCCTGTGGAAAAAAAAATTGTATTGAAACATTTTGCCCGTAGGTCTTCTAGCTATCTCTTAATCCTATCACCATTTCGTTATCTTCTCTGCTGTACACTGCATGAAGGACGCAGATCGGATCGCCCCAAATAATTTTCGAAAATAGTTTAATGCGCGTCGTACAGTACGTTGTGATAAAGAAAAATCACGATTTAATTTGATCGTATTAAAGAGAAGGCTGAGTTCTGGGAAGAGGTGAAAAATAATTTATGAGCGCTATCATTGTTATTATGCAAGTGTGGAATAACATCAGATTAAAAATATTCCCTGAAAAGCATGGCTCTGCAAATTCCTTAATATTCTAAATATGGCATATGGGACGGATCTTTATGCCACATGTTCGTGTAGTCCCATATACAGCTTTCTATGTACAGTGCTTGTAACTTTACCAAGACTTGGCCAAATTTCTTACAATTTGACGATTCCAGGACCTTGCAGTACACACCAATACTTATATGCTAGATGATCAACCTTTTCTGATCGATTCCACAACGTTTATTTTTCAATGCAATCGCATGACTAGAACTCAACTTTAACTTTAAACCTGTAAAGAGAAACTGACTCTTTGTGATTAATGCTCGTAAATATCCCTGCTACATCAGCTATAATCTCGTCATCTTTACTTTACATATTTCCTATTCCTTTAAGAAGGTAAACATCAGCATTGATAATTGTGGGAGAACACTCACTCAATTATTCTTCTTCTTTAAGTAATTAATGTTGGAATAGGATCAGTATAATAGGCATACATAGGCCTATTGGAAGAGCATCTCCATCATAATTATATAGCACTCTGAGATTAAAAAATAAAAAATAAACAAAGTAATTTACATCCCAAAACTGCTTAGTAGCGTATAGGTTCCCTTGATCCTCTATTCATATTAATGTTAATTATAATAATGGAAATTAATATA